GATTCATAGAGATTGTACACTCAAATATTCGAAATCAAATACTACGATTGTTGCGATATTTTTGGTCTTGATTTTATTTTCTCGACGAAATTTATTGTCTACAGGTGTATCATCAATTTTTTATCAAGTTTTATTGAAATGCGTCAATCTCTTTATTTTTTCATATTCGTATGTCAAGATCTCTGTTAAATTCTTATATCTTTTTTCAAATTTGAAATGGTATTTCGATAATTTTAGAACTAAATAGAGCATATCATTATTCATGTTTCAAATTGATTTATGTTTAATTATTAAATTCGGTTAACTTTGAAGGCGTACATCAACAAAATAATTATTGTTAAACTGCTAAAAAAATATTTATGCGATTGAGTTTTTCACTTGCCAAAATCAAGTTTCCGATATTTATGACTAAATTTCATATATGTTTATACCTAGCCTCAAAACCCCCAAAGTACATATGATTCATGAACCAATATATTAGACAGTTGAAGAAGTATTATGGTTCAGAAAATTCGTTGAATCTGATCCTTGAATTTTGGAGTATTCACCGTCCAACATTTACTGCATTCAACAAAAGTAAATTCTTTTAAGAAAATTTTTAGGTTAATGAATCGAGTTGTGAACTTATTGAGTCTAATTACATGTCAACCAATAAATCAGTTAATACAAACATCCACATATTTTATGTCACCTTCTGTTAAAAGGAGGAATAATTATAGACTTAAATTTAATATTAAGGATAGTTATGATAGGATATTTTAAAGTCATTTCCAATATATTATGAATGTTGTTTTTTTTTTGTCTTTTTTTTTTTCTTACTTTTTTCCATTAGCAATATGCAAATAAGGGTATCCAATAAATGTCCTTAAATTGGATAATTCTCTAGAAGGGGAATCAGCCACTGATACTTGTATTCCAGAGGATAGGCTGCCTACATTACATCACCCTGCGATGCGGCCTTTCCCCAAACATTGTATAAATACAAAATATTTTGTACACCGGGCAACTGTTAAATTGAACAGTTCTCACATAACAATCCATATATTGTAATTCATCTCATAACAACCATTATAAATTATTCAACACATAAACATTTACATTATATTTTCTTATGAGTAATTTGTATAGTTAATAGGCCTAAACTAGATTATCCATAGTGTTATTCCCTTTTTCTTTTTCAATTAGGTGTCCATATAGGGACACATATCTCTCCTCCATTATTACTTTCTTACTTTGGCCTTGACACAATTGGAATTCCTTTTCCAATGTTTTGACAAAATTAGTGACATATCGTTTTTTTTTTAATCTTCGAAGGATGACATTATTAGAATTATTTTTCCAAGGTTTTGACATAATTAGTGATATATCGTTTTTCTTTATCTTCCGAAGTACGAATATGACACATTTAGTGATAGCCTCTTGCAGAAATGCAGGGTAAGGTTGCGTAAAATAGACCCTTGCGATCCGATCCTTCCCTAGACCCCGCGCATAGGGAGAGCTTAATTAGTGCACCGGGCTGCTCTAATGACATATCGTCTACTTTAATTATTTTCTGAAATATGTGCAAATTTCATATTTTAACAGATCTTTTAAAGGATTTAAACGTTCGGAATAATGATCCCTCGGTTATTATAATTTTTTGAGTTTGATCTTTGTAATAGTCGATTGAGATAATTTAATTTCATTTGATTAAAATGTCTGATTTGGGTCTCTTTAAATATGAAATATGTATGTTTAGATTATAGAAAAATTGTAGAATTGCAATACATTCAAATATGGAGCAAGATTTATCCCATCGACATTTAAATATTTCATCATTATAGTCCATTATTATAAAATGTATCATGAGAACACTTGTTGCACGTGGTTGGTATTATTCACTAAGATATATTTAGTTCAAATATTTTTATTTTTTTCAATGTCCAAACGCCAACTAGATATGTTTGAACATAACAATTATAATTTTTGAAAAAAAAATAGTATTTGGGAGTTAATTAAGTTGAAAAATAGTATTTAGAAATTAAATTTATTTTGAACATGCATTTCACTTGAAAAAATATTGCAGTCTTGCGAGTGAGGAAAAAGATTTTTCTGAAAATTTTAAAACCTATTTTTTAAAATGTTTCTAAAAGCTTGCAAAACTTCAAGAAAACAAATTGAAAAAAAAGGAAAATAAATTATGGCAAAAAAGGGGCCATAATATACTATAAACCAAGTTAATATCTAAAACTCCCCAGTAGTTTCCTACAAGTGGGGTCTGGGTAGGGTGAGACGTATGCAATCTTACCCTTACCCCTAGAAGGACAGAGATATTGTTTTCGATAGACCCTCAAAAACAGATAAAGACATATTTTTTTTTCTTCATGAAATCCTTTTTAGTTTCGAATATTCAAATACATATCACTCAAGTTTCAGTTACTTTCATCCCGGAGCGAAACTAAATATTAGACTACGGTATGAAACTATATACACTTAAAAGAACTAGAATTTCGAAACCATAACATAAAATATACACGAGATTATTTCATTACACATTGTTCAATTTACTAAGCCAACTTCCTCTTTAACATCACATGCTAAATTTACTTCACCCATCTCAATTGCCCTATAAATACTTCACCATATAAGCATCAAAATTTCATAAGTTTAACTCATTTTTGAGAGAGAAAGAGTGAAACAAACAACAATGGTTTCTTTTTCAATTAGTTGTTGTCAATTGGGAAATATTCAATCAAATATGGTTTGGAATTCTCATTTTCTCCCCAAAAACTATTCTAAACTCACAATAAAACATAAATATTCATATGCCAATTCTACAGGAAGAGAGAAAAAAATGAGTGCAGCAATGGTTGATAGTACTTTCAGCAGCAGTAGTAGTACTACTAGTACTGAACGTCCATTGGCAAATTTTCACTCAAGTGTTTGGAGAGACTATTTCCTCTCTTACACTCCTCAACTCACAGTATGACATATATACACATTACTAATATACTATATACTTTAACCAAACATAATACTTCATTCGTTTCACTTTATTTACCACTATTTTTTTATTAGTCCATTTCAAATATAGTTCTGTATTTTTCTTGAGAAACTTTTATAGCTACATAAAAATACTATGACATGTTTAATACCAATTTAAAGTTTTATATGTAACTACATCAGTGGCGGCCCAATAGAATACGGGCCTAAAGCTGAATCGTTATAGAGGTCTTTGGAGGCAAATAAGTTAATTATATTTTACAGTCACCTCTTCTAATATTTTCTTCCTAATTGATAATATAGCCAATTTATTTAATTATTTTTGAAGTATTATTGATCTTAGTAAAACTTTTATTAATTTCAGTTTCAAAAAATATCTTTCTGTTGGAGAAAATATCTTTTTTATTTTATTTTATGAGCAATATTATATAGGCATGTGAAAGAAGAATCAATTTTTATTCCATTAAATATATCAATTAGAGTATTATGTTCTGCTTGTACAATTTTTCTTAGTATTTTTGTGACAAAGTATGTCCAAAAATCAATATGGAACTAATTAGCTCAAAGTATGTACATAAGCCGTTGTAAGATGAAAATTAATCCAAGTTGAAGAGAATAAAAAGAATGAATGAGGAAGTCATTCAAGTGCATGCTATTCATTTGTTATAGCTCAACCAAATTCTCCCTACAAAATAGCATAATGTTTGGAACTATACCATGATGATTATTGACATAGAAAATGGCTGATCAAAAAATTTACTTACCATTAAAAAAATTATAGGAGTAATTACTTAAAATATACTTATTATATATGTAATATGATAATAATTGGGGCCCTATATTTTTGGAGGCCTAAAGCCTCGGTTGTAGCTACCTTGGGGTTCAGCCGCCTCCTAAGCTATATAAATGCTTTGGCATATTTCACACTATAAGTTTCAAAAGTTATCATTTCTTTATAAATTTTGTGTCAAGTCAAACTATGACAAACAAAGTAAAACTGAGGAAGTATATGTAGTATTTTATGCGAGGTTTTATACTGGAAATTTTTTAACGTAACAAATATTTTTATAGGGGCGCACAAAATATAGTGATCCAAAGTTATAACGGTAATCAAATAATAGCGCTTAATTTTAATTTGGTGCATGCAGGAAATTACTAGGCAAGAAAGAGTTGAACTTGAAGAGCTGAAAGAAAAAGTCAGGCAAATGCTAGTTGAAACACCTAATAATAGTACACAAAAACTTGAATTGATTGATACATTTCAACGATTGGGAGTGGCATATCATTTCAAAAATGAGATTAAAACATCCATTCAGAATATCTTTAATGCCTCTCAACAAAGTGAAAATGAAGATGACAACCTTTATGTTATTGCTCTTCGTTTTCGACTACTGAGACAACAAAGACATTACATGTCTTCTGGTACGTAACCTTCTAGTTCCGCTTCAGTTATAACTAGTTTAATATCTCTCAGATATTTAATTACCATGATGTTAAATCAGATGTGTTCAAGAAATTCACTAACAAAGATGGAAAGTTCAAGGAAACACTTACCCAAGATGTACAAGGATTATTAAGTTTATATGAAGCAGCACATTTAAGAGTACACGGGGAAGAAATTCTAGAACAAGCTTTGAGTTTTACACTCACTAATTTGGAGTCAATGGGCCCTAAATTGAGCAACTCATCACTTAAGGCCCAAGTTAGTGAGGCTTTAAGCCAGCCCATTCATACAAATCTTCCAAGGATGACAGCAAGAAAATATATATCTATGTATGAGAACATTGAATCTCATAATAATTTGGATTTGCTTTTGAAATTTGCAAAATTGGATTTTAACATTGTGGAAAAGGTGCACCAAAGAGAGCTTGGCGAGCTTACAAGGTACATACATTTTTAGCCGTTTCTAAAAATAATAGCTGACAATTATATATTTTTGTTTATATATATATGTATCATTTACAAAAAAAATGTGCATATTTTATATATAT